ATTTCCCACCCCAGCCCCCCGACCTGCTTTTACCATGTGCTCCGATTTTATAAGCACTGCCCCACTGGTTGTTTGCAGCATAAACTAAAACTGGCCAGTTGGATCAAGTTTCTTCCTTTGGTCGGAAAAGGGATCAGGGAAGCAGGATGCATAACCAGCACTAGGTCACAAACACAGAGCGGCAGCATTCGCTGCTTCCTTCACCACAGCCCCTTGCTGAGTCCCTGGCGGTGTTCTGAACACCTTGCGTCTCTGGAGCAGAGGGTATTTCCCAGTGGTAATGCTGAAAACACACACTCCTTAAAAAATCACTGGCCGTGACGGATCCTCTTTATTAAGGGGAGGGATGCTGGCTGCTGCTTTGTTGTTTTCCAGCCTGATCTTAGTCTGCTGGGGCCATGATGTTCTTCCTTCCCTCTGTTCGCAGGAACAGCAGCTCTGCCTCCAGGTGAGCCGCTGATCTCCACCATTTAGGGCTTTTACTTGATCAAATGCGGACGTCAGTGGAAGACTCCAACAGCCTGCAGTGGGCTTTGGCTCAGGCCCAAAGAGAGCCCCAGTTCACCTAGACCCTCCAGGCTGCGGGGAAACCGAACAAGCTGCTTGCTTGCTTTGCTATTATAGAGGGCAAAACTGCTCACCTCATGGAATCACCTCACGGCCTTGTCCCCCAGCAGACAGGCAGCGGGACCCTGTCTTGATAGTTAAAGGTTCAGGACAAAGGGAACAGATTCCTAGCCACACATACAGATTGCTAGCCTGGGGCAGGCCCAGGCCCTAGCCACATCTTCCCTTTAAAGCACTAAAGATGGAAACTAATGCCTTTGATCTGACTGTTTAATGGGCCAGATCCTGATACCTTGACTGAGTTTTTTTTACTCTGACCAGATCCCGTTGTCCCCAATGCAAGGTTTGTATTACTGTGAAATAGACCTCGGGGTGTGGTTTGGTTTCCTCAGAGGCAGAATTCCATATATCTCAGCTACATTGTTAGCGCCCTCAGTCTCCAGGCAAAATCGGGGCCTCACTGTGCTAGGGGCTGTACAAACACATAGTGAGGGACAGTCCCTGCCCCAAGATCTTACACTCTTGGTAAGGCAGGATTCTTAGCCCTGTTTTACAGCTGGGGGGGAAGATGAAGGGACTTGCTTCTGGTTATACAGAGTCTGTGACAGAGCCAGGAACAGAACCCAAAGCTCTGGAGTTCCCATCCATTACCTTAACCACAGGCCAGTCCTATAATCCTCTCCAGTCAATTTAATCCTTTACTGTCCACACGATAGTTTAGTTTTCTCAGTTAGATATTCACTGTTGACCCACCTTCTATGAAAGCAATAAAAGACTTGATGCAAAATCCCAACCGCGCCTTTTCTTATTGATAATCTGCCGTGGCAATCCTGTCTCATATTCTAGCAAAAGGGTAAAAAACAAACAACAAACCCGAGGGCTGAGTGTGTGTTAGTTAAAGAAAACAGAGCAGAATTTAGCCCGGTATCTGTGAAAATCAGGTGTAATTCCATTAAACCCAGCGGAGTCTCTCCTGATCTACACTAGCATAAGTGAGATCAGAATCTGGTCCGTTGGATCTATAAATGACATGAATACTATGCAGCTTTTAAAATCAGTGTATGGGAAGGGGACCCCCTGTGGTGGTGTGCTTAGTCGTTATGTTTCCGATAGTTTGCAGAGCTTAGGGGTAACTATGCTTTTGGAAACAGACTGTAGTCTGTCTCTCTCCTCTTAAGTACATCTCGGATTTAGCCCAGCGGTGGCATTGGCTGCACTCTGAGTTTTGGCCTCTGAAGTGCTGACTTTTGTGAATGGAGGATTATGGAAAAATCTTTTATCTTTTTTTTTTAAATCTCTCTTGTTGAAGAACCCAGCAGTTTCCCAGGAGGATAGCAAGCAGTCAGTGCTGCTTGAAAACAAAGCTTAAGAATTCCTTTCTGAAGAAGTCGCCTAATTCTCTGTCAAGTCTTAGCTAGGAAACTGCTTTAAAAGCAAAGAACAGTGATTTTAGCGTGGAAAGAGATGGACAAGTATCTGTCACAGAACACAGCGCCGGTAGTAGCTACTGTCAAGCAGAGGTTATTGTGAATAGACCTGGTCAAAACTCAGGATTTCCATTTCATGGGACATTTTGCCATTTCAAAATTTGTTTTCATTCCAAACCAATATTTTCAAAACTTCCCAGCAAACAGAATTTTTGAAAAATTCAGTTGTGGGAAATTTTCATCTATGTCCTCCTCTTCCGAGACTTGCGATGGTATCTTTGAGTGAGGCAGACGCTTTTCAGGTGGGAACAAGGCTGAGATCAGCCAACCTGTTTTACCACCGACTGGTAAACATTTAGTAACTACCAAGCTAGGCTGGATTTGACCCGGAATCCTGTAGGTGAAATTCACTACATCCCCTGAGCCTCTGAGAGGAGGTTGAGTTGTGGGTCAGGGAGAAAGGGTAGATCTGGATTTTCAAAACAGGTCCTCTAATCTTCAGATGGAGCCAACTTTTTCAACTGGTCCCTATTTAACACCGCCTAGTCCCATTTCCTCTATCTAGCACGCTTTGGCTGCAAGAGCCGGTCAAAACGAAACCCAAACCGTATCACCTTGACCTCTGCATCCAGGTCCAAACTTCATGACTTGGGCCTGCCGTGGTCACTGGACTCACCAAGATCCAACCAGGACACTTTTCCCACGGTTAAATAGTAGAGCTTGATGCACTAATACACAGAGCACTGCTGGACAGCGGTGAACGTGGCTGTAACTAACACGTGCTCGTTCATCTCCAGTGACGCACCGGGAATTCATCGGAAAATCATCGGAAGAAGCTGCGTTGTGCAGATGCAACTCTGCTGAGATGTCTTTAAACGCCAATCTGTGCTCATTAGGCTGGGCGGCTTTATTGATTAAACAGCTCTTGCTACTTTTCCAGGCAGGGGTGACTTCAAAGGGGGGGGGGGGAACGACACCCAGCATGGCCCACTTGAAAGCATAGTGCAGAAAACCAATGCCTGGCTGCTGGCACTTCCTCAGCGAGTCGTTGAAAGTAGTGCCTAAGAGTGAGTGGAGGTGAAAGAGCACCGTTAATGGAGCTCTTATGTTTATATCTTATAAAGCCTGGTTATACAGATCAATCTTTGGCGTGGAGCTTGTTTTCAGACATGGTTAAACATGTATAATAGGGTGGGGAGGCGGGGCTGGAATTGGAATGGGTTTAGTTGCACCGCCCGTCGGCCAACCTGCCACGCCGAGATTTCCGTTCTGCAAAGCGGCTGCCGCTCCAGAGCCTCTTCTCCATGTTCCCATGTAACTTCCATTGCAACTGCTGGGCAAAGGCCTGGCACAGTCTGACGGATTAAATGTAGCACTAGAATCCAGGAACTTCTGTGGCATAAACCCATGACAGCCACTGACTCGCTGGGTCGCCTCGGACAAGTTTAGCTGAATCTTCTGAGTTTGAGTCTAGCTGTGTCTCTGCAGGCTTGTATGGTGGGGGGAGTGGGATCCTTTCTCCCAGCCCGCAGTACATGGGCAGCCAGACTCCTGGAGTTAGCACCCCTTCCGGCCAAGGTGCATTTGAGCGGAATAGCTGGATAGGGCCCCTGCATCAAGGTGACATAAGAACTGCGGCTGTGTGCCCCTTGGAGGCATTATTATTTGCATTCCCCTAGCACCTAGAAGCCCCAACTGAGATCAGGGCCCCATTGTGCTGCACATACTTCTACACTGCAACTGGGAGCGTGCTGCTCAGTGCAGGTAGACAGACATCCGCTAGCTCGGCTCAAGCTAGCACGCTAAAAAGAGCCACGTAGCCACGTGAGCACAAACCTGCCTGGAACCTCTGCGTGCGTATTCGGGTGGCTAGCCTGAACCACTGCCTGTGCTACCCCGGACGACAGTGCTAGTTTGAGCAGCTGCAACGGAGACGTACTCCGGCTGAGACGCAGCCCCTGACCTAAAGAGCTAATAATGTAAATAGTCAAAAGACAGGCGCGTTTTCAATTTTGGATGAAAAGGTGGCGGCACAACAAAATATTGTCATTTTAAAGCCTGCAACCAGCTTTAATACTGCACGCCTGTCATAGGAATTTGGGAGGATTCATTAGCTAATGTCTATTAAGAGCTTTGATGGTTGTTATTGTTACTGATAATTATTTGTATTACAGTAGCACCTATGGGGTCCAATCAGGGCTCAAGGCTCCATTGTGCTAGGCATTATGCACGCCTTCCGTGAAAAGACAGCCACCGGGCTAAAGAAATTACAGTCTAAGACCCCGAGCCGGCAAACACTTAAGCACATGCTTAACTTTATGTAGGTGGAGCTGACGGAATTTTTTTTTACTGAAAAATTTTCCCGTTGGAAAACGTGGCTTTGCCAAGATTGGAATTTTCTGCCGGAAACATGTTGATGGGATGAAATTTCCCAGTTGGGGGAATCAAAACAAAGACCTGCATTTTGAATGGCCACTTGAAAACGAAGCCAAAACATTTCATGTTGACATTTTGTAAAATGTTTGTTTGCGTCTAAAATGTGGTAATTTGCCATGTTGATCTTTCCAATTAAAAACCCTTTTTTGGGGTCTTTTTTCACGTAGCAAAATGTTTTAATTCCGATTCAGAATGGAAAGTCATTTCAAAACTTCTCACAAAAGAAATATTCTGTTTCTTGAACAGCTCTTAACTGTGGTCCTGATCCAAAAACCACGGCGTCTCTTCCCAGGGACTTTAGTGGAGCTACTCACAGTGCATAAAATTAGACCCTGTTCTTGTAAAGACTCACAAGCATGCTTAAGGGTAGGATGAGAGACAACAGTTGGACACTACAAGCAGATGGGAGAAGTGCCAGGAAATGGTAAAATGACGATCGTCAGTGAATAGTGAGGTGGAAGGCTCCATATTGTTACTGTGATGATGATGTACCAAGCCTTTTAAATGTTACTTGTTTGGAAATTGTCAAATGTTTAAACGCTGAAAATGGCTTTTGCTTCTGCCTTGCAGGAGTCCCCTTCCCCAAGAACTTCCAGCAGGTGTGTACCAAGATCCTCACCCGCCTCTTCCGAGTCTTCGTCCACGTCTACATCCATCACTTCGATAGTATCATCAGCATGGGCGCCGAGGCCCACGTCAACACCTGCTACAAGCACTTTTACTACTTCATCAAAGAGTTCAGCCTCATTGACCACCGGGAGCTGGAGCCTTTGGTAAGCAGTTGCCTACTTCACGTGGGGGTGAAATTCACCTCTCTGCAGAAAGAGAGCATGAGGCCTCTTCCCCCACTGAAGTCCTTGTCCTCACCTTAATGGCCCTTCGCCATTGAACCCTGCTCTTCGTTTCCATTGTATTATTTTCACACTGACGTACTGCCAGCCGTAACTGACTTGATCACCCTCTTCTCCACTTTTTCCCATGAGCACCTCCATGTTTTCTCTCTTATGCTTAGGAAGAACTCACCAAACCACCACCTGATCCTCTTTTTAAGTCATTCCTTAAACCCTGCCTCTGCCACATCACCCAAAAAATACCTCCTGGTATTGGTTGGGCTGGTGACCACGTGGCCACTGAGACCACCCTGGCTCCTAACCTGTGCAAACACACCTCTCTGTACCGTTGCCTTGCCCTCGCCCATGCTTGCATGTCTGTTTATTCACCTGTTGTCTATATCCAAGCTTGTGAGCCCTCCTGGGACAGGGTTTCTGATTGTACAACACCTCGTTTAACGGGGCCCTGATCCCTGGCTGGGGGCCTTACGTGCTACCACAATCACAACAATAACATAGGTCAGCCCACCTGGTTGGATGCCAGCCATGGTGACGGGAAGTGCAAAGCACTTATGAAGGAAAAATCCAATGCGCAGCTACAAAACGGGGAATAATTGGTTAGGTAGTAGTACTGTTGAAAAGGATCTGGGAGTTACAGTGGATCACAAATTGAATATGAATCAACAGTGTGATGCAGTTGCAAAAAATGACTGATATGTATCATTCTGGGGTATATTAGCAGGTGTGTTCCATGTATGATGCTGGAGGTAATTGTCCTGCTCTACTCAGCACTGGTGGAATACTGTGTCCAATTCTGGGTGCCATACTCTAGGAAAGATGTGGACAAATTGGAGAGAGTCCACAGGAGAGCAACCAAAATGATCAAAGGGTTAGAAAACCTGAGCTCTATGAGGAAACATTAAAAAAATCTGGCCATGTTGCTTCTTGTGGGAAGAAGACTGATGGGGGACCTGATGTAAGTCTTCAAATATGTTAAGGGCCGATATAAGGAGGTCAACTGTTTTCTATGTCCACTAAAGGTAGGACAAGACGTAATGGGCTTAATCTGCAGCAAGAGAGATTTAGATTAGATATTAGGAAAAATTGGCTAACTCTAAGGGGAGTTAAGCTGTGGAACAGGCTTCCAAGGGAGGTGGTGGAATCCCCATCACTGAGATTTTTAAGTACAGGTTGGACAAACACCTGTCAGGAATGGTCTAGTTTTATTTGGTCCTGCCGCAGTGCAGGGCGCTAGACTTGATGACCTCTCGAAGTCCCTTCCAGCCCGACGTGTCTATGATTTTGTGGATGCAGAGAATTGTGATGACGTGAAGGGTCATTTGAATGGAGGGGACCCCACATGAGCACAGAGTTCCTCCTTCGCAGATCTGATTGCAGGCTCGGGGCCTATATCCATGCCTTTAACTCCACTGTCCTCCCCCACTGCCCAGCTGTGAGAGACATCATCTCCTGACCCGATTGGGTTCTGCCTGCCTTTGAGCACTGCACACTGTCTGCGTAGTGCCACATGGCTGATGCAGGGGAGTTACGGAAAATCTAGGTCTGCTGGAAGTTTGGGGAGAGGGGGGGAAGAAACCTATCCAGGTCCCTAATTAATTATCCTGCCTCATCAATTTGATTCTGATTCAGGTAGCTCAGCTGGCCAAAGAGCACTCCGGTTCATATGACGTCCCTAGCAATAGTTTAAGATGAACTAATTCTGATCTAATGGCCTGAAGCTCTGGCAAGTAGCACCTCAGCCTGATTAGCTCCTCTTCCTAACGACCCTAATCATGACGAGCTTGTTCGGTATTGATGAGCTGCATCTCAATAACTATTCCGTCCCATTGTGGTTCATGCTGGATTGATTCCCGGCTACTCGAACATGTGACTGTCACGTGGCTGGAATCGGGGCCTGAAAATGCTAAAAGGTTTTCAAAGCTTATTTGCCAGAAGGGGTGACTGAGGGGTCCACTGAGGCCATGAGGAGCTTAGCTGCTTGGTACGATGATGCCGGTGTTCATCTGAAGGGGAACAGGCTGGATTCATCCTTGGTGTAACTTCGTCTTCCTTGGCTCTTAGTGCATCTCTTAATTGGCGTCCAACAGACCCAACCATCCATGATAGCTCGCATGCTCAGCAGATGGGCTTGCTCTGTGGGTGACCACCTGGGGGCCAAGGCAATGGCTCAGTCTTAGGTCAAATACTCTGACTCAGTGAGTCAAACCCCAGCAAGGTAAGTCCTCCTTCTGAGTCAGAGAAAGTGAGTCCTGGGGTCATGGGGTGCATAGACGCCAGGCTGCCATGACCACGCAGAGGTTAACGGGTAGGCCAGCTCTCTCGGCTAAGGAGAGACTCCTTCAGCGGAAGAGCGGCTGCAAGTCGGACTTTCAGAGAAAGAGAATTAGAAACTGAGAGTCTGGAAGAGGGTTACAGGAGCGGTGGACTGAGAAGCAGTAAAGGATTGCGAGGAGCCAGTCCCTCCTGCTTAATGCATAGTCCCTGGGAACCCAGAGGAGTGAGCAGGCCTGGCTGGGGTCTCCTACCATCTGCCAGCCAAGGGGATAGTAAAACCTCTTGGAGCTAAGGGGTCTGGAGTCTATGGGGGCTGGGATTATTGCCTCTTTGCTAGGGTGACTGGGCTCCTGGTCCATCAGACTTTTTACTGCCCCTCAAGGGGAAAGGCTATAGACAACTCCACTGGAGTCCTAAGAGGAAGCCACCCTGCCCAGGGCCAGATGACTGACGGTGTGGGGAGAGAAACTGAGGCAGTTGCCGTAGCATCACGCACAGCTTTGAGAGGGCACTGACTGCCAAAGGCACCCCGGATCCCTGTGCAATTTGCTCGCTTTCAGAAGTGACGGAAAATCAAGGTCCCATCTGCTTTGTGCAGTCCATAAATAGCTCAGGGCACTTCTCCTATGAGCAGGGGGATCTGCCCTGAGTTCCTTCTCCAAAACTGCCCTCCCCTGGACCATGTGCTGGCTGGCCACTACTCTAGTCTGCCCCAGAGATGGCTGCATTTTGCCAGAGTGGTGTGTAGAAGGCCAAATCACTCAGTGAGATCTAGCTAGTCATTTTTGTAAAGTGCTTTTCTCTGCTATACACGTGAAAAATATGGCTTGTTAGTGCAGCCAAGACTCCAACCGGAACCCCATGGGCTGGAGGCAGCAGCTGAGCCCCCCTGCCCCCCCAAACAGCCCCCCTCTGGCTGAGACAGCGGGAGCCGTGCTAAGCTTGTCGCATCTGGGAGCTGCTCTTTTCCGCCTCTGGCCCCAAACACTATTAAAGACCAGGAAGCTGAAGAGGATGAGAGGAAAAAAAATGTTGCCATAATAAACCACTTCCCCCTCCCTAATGCTCTTTCCTTTAAGACACAATAAGTGGAAGTTTCAGGGCTAACATCCTTGCACCGTTTCAATAAGTCACGGGTCTTTGTTTATTTGATTGGGGCTGGGGGGAGGGGTTGCTGGCCGTGTCCTGGTGTGAATTGTAAGAATGAGAAAATAATATTTTGCACCTAAATCGCCCCTTTCAGCAAAGGACCTCAATGCACTTTAGCAAGATGAATGAAGTTATCTTGCTTTTCGGAAGGGGGAAACTGAGGCAGGGGTAGACTAAGTGACTTGCTTGAGGTCAAACTGCAAGTCAGTAGCAGGGCCTGGAACAGAACGTTCAGGGTCCCGCTCTAACCATTAGTTTACAATGCCCCTGCTCCACACAGGAGGCCGTTAGTCTGACCCGTATAACACAGGGCAGATTCTTACCCCTAGCCATGGTGGTATGGATTTCTTTCGTGCACCCTTTCATGAAGCTCCTATCTAGATATTTCTCGTTGTTGTTCATTTGGAATATACACCTATAACACCTTCCTCCAATCCAGGCTGGCTGCTGCTTCCCAAATCCAGCTTCCATGTTTGTGCGAGGCCAGTGTGAGCCCATTGGCAGTTAGATTAATGCCCATTTTCTCACCCGCCACCGAATTGAGCCTGGAGAATATCACACTGAAAATCGATGTAGAAGCAGCTGGAATGGCTCTAAGGCAACGGGGCCAATTTGTGTGCAGCCTTGACAGCTGCTGACTGTGTATTGGGTGATAGACTCAGTCCTTTTAAATGGCAAATTGGGGAATGTAAGATCTGCAGAGAGCGGCTGCATCAGAGACTTTGTAGCGCTAATCCTGCTCCCTCAGCCAAACTCCCTTTTTGCTCCTCTCACCGGGTGGTGAAGTGGCTATAACAGAGCCTGAGAATCAGGAGATGTGGCTGTTTATTCTGGGCTCTGCCGCTCACTCGCTTGTGTGACCCACGACTGCCCCAGAGTTCACTTTCTGTAGCTATGAAGCGGGGAGGGTCTATCTAGTTCTCGTTGCTTATCTCATCCCCTTCCCCCAAACACACATTTGTTATAGTATCTGAGTGCCTGGCAGTCCTTAATGTGTTTGTCCTCACCGCATGCCTGTGAGTCAGGGCAGTGTTATTCCCATTGCACAGAAGGGGAATTGAGGCCCAGAGTTGGCCAAGGTCACCCAGGCACTCTGGAGGAGCAAGGAATTGAACCTGGGGCTCTGAAATTGCAGGCGAGCACCTTCACCACTGGAGCATCCTTCTCTGCAATAGTGTAGTGAATTGGCATCAATACTCTCCAGTGGATGAAATCGGAATGACTCAGCTGTGTGTCATTGGCCCTATATGGCGAACTGCTCCTGTACTTTGGCGGAGTAGGAGGGTGCAAGTTCTGTTCCTGCTGTTGAAGTTTTGAATGGCCCCAGCGTGCCACATAATGACAAACCGTGGCATTCACAGATGACCCGGGATTGGTTTCAACACTTCCCTACCTCCATAGAGTGCACTGAAAGCCTCAAATACCCTCCTACTAGAGAAGTGCCGAGTATGATCTTATTACTGGCCAGCAGGTCCCTTGGCTAAGCATTGCTGCAGTGA